ACATTCTCACGACGCATCGTCAAGGAGCACCAAAGGTTACAGGATCAAGACCGCAAGAACCACGAGGCCTACATTCGCTCTGGCGAGATCTTTGAAGATCGACAGCAAAACTACGAACGCATGACAAAGAGCTTCGAGCGCGTTTGCGATTGGGGTACCATTCTTTCCGAGCTTCTCGACGTTCCTATGCCTCAGCTTGAAGCATCAGCATCAGCGTCTAGTGCTGCAGGGCTGGGTGTCAACCTGAATTCCAAGTCCGCCTTTGAGCGAGCAGATGAAGAATTCGCGACAGATCAGAGTCCGTGGGAGGATCAAGACACGCAGAAATTCTACGAAAGCATTCTTGATCTTGGCGACATTATCCCACCAGTGATTTTGGCGCAGACTACAGGCATCAGTCTCAACGCTTCGAGCAGTGCTGTCAAAGCCGACGCCAAAGATGCAGACGGACAGACGGAAGCAATCTCATCCGCAGATGCATCGACGTCAGGCTCGCCGCAACTCGATTCTGACGCCGTCGACGAAGCGATGAACGCCGGACCAGCAGCCCAGCTTGCAACGCTTATGGCCAAGTTGCCAGACATGACGAACCGCAGCATGATTGACAGTGCTGCTGTTGATTTTGCCTTCATTGCCACCAAGCCAGCACGCCGGAAATTGGTCAAACACCTTGCCTCGCTCCCACGCAACCGTATCGACTTGGCCCCTTACTACGCGCGCCTTGCAGCGACGCTCAACGGATACATGCCTGACGTCGGCGCAGGTCTCACCGCCTTGCTAGAAGACGAGTTCCGTTATCTGCAGCGCAAGAAGAACGTCGATCTTACAGAGACACGCGCCAAAAATGCTCGCTTCCTTTCGGAGCTCACCAAGTTCAAGGTCACACCAACACACGCCATCTTCCACTGCCTCAAGACGTGCCTCGAGGACTTTTCCGGCCCCAACATCGATGTGTTGGCTTCGCTACTGGAGGGATGTGGTCGATTCCTGCTTCGCACCGAGGAAACCTCGGCGCGAATGCGAAGCATGCTCGAGATGCTGCGTCGGAAGCGTGCAGCTGCCAATTTGGACTCGCGCCAACTGCTCATACTCAATAATGCCTACTACCAGTGCAATCCACCCAAACGCAAGGCTATCGAGCAGAAGGAGCGCAAGCCGATGGAGCTCTACATCCGCCATCTGATCTACAATGTCTTGCAGAAGAGGACGGTCGACAGCGTTGTGGTTCAGCTCCGGAAGCTACCCTGGGACGATGCGGAAGTGTACGGCTGGCTCAAGGACGCCTTTACGCGTGCGTGGCGTATTCGCTACTCCAACATCCATCTGCTCGCCATCCTCGTCTACGAACTCGACCGATTCCACCCTGCTTTCACCGTCGAAGTCATCGATCAAGTCCTCGAAAACATCCGCGTCGGCATGGAAGAAAACATTTTCAAGCACAATCAACGTCGCGTCGCCACCACTTGCTATCTCGGCGAGCTGTACAACTACCGCCTCATCAACAGCGGCATCGTCTTTGAACAGCTTTGGTCGCTTGCCACTTTTGGCCATCCCAATGGTCGACCTTGGCCCGGGCAGGTCGCCCCCTTGGATGCGCCAGACGACTACTTTAGGATCCGATTGATTTGCACGCTGCTCGACACGTGTGGTGTTTGCTTTGACAGAGGATCCTTGAAGAAGAAGTTGGACGACTTTTTGGTTTTCTTAAACGTGTACGTGCTGTGCAAAGAGCAGCCGCTGCCGATGGACGTCGACTTTATGCTGACTGAGACGTTGGAGATGTTGAGACCTGAAATGAACTTCAACAAGTCGTTCGCAATCGCAGCGGGGGCGTTGGAGGAAATGATGGCGGCCAACAGGCAGAACGATGCGCAGGCTGGGGCTGAGGAGGATGACGACGAATCGGACGAGGAGCGCAGTGGTGCAAGAGCGGACGGACGTGGTGCAGAGGGCGGCGAGAAACGGCGCAAGGCGAGAAATGGAGTCGATGATGCTTCAGATAGCGATGGATCCTCCGACTCTTCAGCTTCAACGTCATCATCATCTTCATCTGGTGACTCTTCGTCATCTGGCGAAGATTCGAATGCCTCTCAATCCGATCATGCCGACTCACAACTACCTTCGGAAGACAACGACTCGGATGGAGAGGATGAGATTAGCCGCCATCACTGGGACGAAGAGCTCGCAATCCGCAAAGAAGCAGACGACGAGTTCGACCGAGAGCTGGCCAAGATGATGGCCGAGTTCGGCTCATCTGGTCCTGCCGTCGCGCGCGCTTCGAATGCTAACAGCAATGCGACTGCCTCTCGAAGCACCCAACTCTTCTCGCGTGGCGGCCTCTCTTCGACCAACGCCGGCTACGGCCATTCGCATATTCACTCACACGCACACGGCCATTCGTCCACGTCTGGCGTATCCGAAATCGGCCTGCCGGTCAAGAAGAAGCCCTCAGAGCATCCTCAAGAGGACGATTCGCATATGACGTTCTCCCTCCTGTCCAAAAAAGGCTCCAAGCAGGTTACGCACGAAGTGCACGTTCCGTCCACCGCGTCGATTGCGATCAACACGCGGACGAAGCAGCTCATGGAGGAGGCGGAGAGGAAAAGGCTCAAACAGCATGTACTTGCGTATGAGCGGTCCTCAGAGTCTCAGAACGACTCGGGGCTGCCTCCGCAGCATACCTTGCTGCGACGTCAGCACCAGCATCAACATCAGCAGCAGCCGCAGCAGAGGGAGGATTCGGCGAATGGCAGAGGTAAGGGAGCTGCAGGTGACGATTTCAAGATTTGGACCAGTCACGGGTTCTGATCTGAAATGCAAAGCGCTTTCTCACGAGTGCGGACCAAGCTTGTGACTGTAATGACATCGATGCCAAGTGATGCGAATATGAGTATGCAGTCAAAGAGAAGACTGGGAAGGCTGGGAAAATTATCTCCCCAATGTTAGATCGAGAACATTGCGCAAACGACTCACGTGACGCGTCTTTCTCCACGAAGGGTCGCAAGCTTTGGAATATCTCTATCCTGCAGGCGACACTCTCCATCTTTGGTCCCATTCGTCATCTTTGTTCTTGGCCATCCACCCATCTTCTTCCACATATCTCGTATCACGACAGCGCGGACGCAGGCTCCAGCATACGTTCTGAAGCGCCATTCTCCAGTCGAACCTCGTCAAAGCACTGTTCGTGGTCACCAAGCCGCTCAAAAAGCCCATCAGCGATCTGCGCAGCATCTCAGCATCCTCCTTTCGCCATCCTGAATCGTCCTAACTCCAGCATAAAGTCAGAGAACACATACATCACATAAGCTCAGCATGAACGGGCGCTACGATGCGGCCTCTTCGCGGCCCAAGATCACAGTTCGACAACTGAATCGCGACCATGCCAACTTCATTCTCGAGAACGTGGATCTCTCGTTTGCCAACTCGCTCAGAAGGATCATGATCGCAGACATTCCAACGGTAGCCATTGATATGGTGGAGATCAGAAACAACACAACCGTGCTGCCAGACGAGTTCTTGGCACATCGTTTGGGTATGATCCCTTTGCTCAGTATGGATTGTGCCAAGGCTTTGGTGGATCATAGGGTACGTACTCGCCGACTGGAAGTTTGCATTGAACGACGCTGACTTTTCCGTTTATCTTTGCTTCTCTTGATCTTCTTGGGCTGTTGGTGTCGCTGGGCTGTTTCGATGTTTATTTGATGGCAACGCTCGCTTCGCTCGCTCTACCAGGACTGCGCCTGTGAGGACGGATGCGATCGTTGCTCTGTAGAGCTCACATTACGCGCCCGATGCACCACCCGCGGGAACCTCGAAGTGACTTCTCGCGACTTGATACGCTCCGACACGATCGAAAATGCCACGATTTACGACGACGATGCGATGGCCGAACCCGCTGTACCCAAGCATCCCGATTTCGGTCGTCCAGTTGGACACGATGGATCCATCCCTCCCATTATGCTTGTCAAGATGTCCAAGGGCCAAGAGCTCGACATTCGCTGCATTGCACGTAAAGGATTCGCTAAAGAGCATGCAAAATGGTCTCCCTGTTCCGCGGTCGGCTTCGAGTACGATCCGCACAACGCCCTCCGCCACACCACCTACTGGTACGAGTTTGACGCCAAGCAAGAATGGCCCGAAGGACCCAATGCCGAGCTGGAAGAACCACCACAGGAAGATGCTCCTTTTGACTACAACAAGAAGGCCAACAAGTTTTACTTTGATGTCGAGGCCAGTGGAAGTATGCACCCCGCCGAGATCGTAGAGACGGGGTTGGGTCTGTTGGAATACAGAGTGGCGCAGATTGTACAGGAGTTGAGTCTCTTGGACGAGCAACCTGGAGCGCCTGGAGCTGGGATGGGGATGGAGAATGGCATGATTGACCCGTACGGCGATGCGCAGAGAGTAAATGGTGGTGCGATGGATATGAATGGTGGTGCCGGCATGGGGGATATGAACGGGTACCCAGGACAAGGGGCTAATCCTTATGCTGGTGGTTGGGAGTGATCGCTGAAGCGCAGGAGGTGCTGATATGAAGCTACGACAGAAGCGTCTTGTAGCAGTCGCTCGCTTACTCCTTTCGAACGATTCTAGCACCCGCCACATCTGTACCTGACACATTCTTTGAAATATTAAAAAAACTGTACTACTAGACCATCCATCATTCACTCGGAGATTCCATTTGTCATGCATCGCTGGCTTTAGAATATCGAACTCTTGTGGATAAAAAAAAGTCCAAGGCGACTGTCTGAACGACGATCAAGAGATATGCTGCTAACCGACATGAAATGAATCCGACATCTGAGCAGCTGTCAAAGCTGTAGCTACCGCTGGCACTTCGACAGGATACATGAGGACTGTCTGGTGTGCACACACCACGATGCCATAACTGTGGCACTGTCATTATAGAGGTGGTTGGCAAGCATACAGGAGAAGCAAGGCATCCAGGTTTAACATCGCTCTGAAGTGCGAAATTAAAAAAAAAAAAAATGCAAAAGAAGTTCCCGGCCAGGGAATCGAACCCTGATCTGAGCAGATCAATCACCAACCAACCAACTTATCGGTTGGTACAATGGTTAGTTTATGAGAGTGCCCTATACTGACCATTGTACTAACTGGGACGCTGTTGAAACTACACATCACAGTGAAAGCTATATAGCAATTTTATCACTATCCCCAAACCCTGGCGGGTCAGGACATTGTTCCGCAACCATAACTTGTACGAACTGGGATTTCATGTTCTCCTATCTTAAGGTTACAAATATATTGTGACGATTGAATGGCAGTTCACAGGCGACCACCGACGTTTTGAGTTCAGACGCCTCGCAATCTCACCTTTCGGCATAGCCAGTGCAGCAACTGGATACCGGGCAGCACGTTGCCCACAATCCATCTCAACGTCATGCCTATAGGTATGAGGATGGGCGCCATGATGCCTGGCAGAACCAAAGGTGGTACAGTAGTCGGTGGATGGGCTTCGAGTCGAGGCGTCGGCAATCTCGCCGTCGGATCCCACCAAAAGAAAGCGTTGAGCACAGCTTTGCTCTTTGCTCTTTGCCTCAGAGGCGGATGTCGGACAAGCTGCGGTCCGTCGAGTGGGAGACAGAAAGAACTTACAATAGAAAAAGCGAGCCAAGTACAATGATGCAACGCTGAAATTGTTTGTCCGCCATCCCGCGTCAGGTCTCGTCCGTTCAAGACCGATTTTACACACTTCCAAATTAGGCAAGGCACAGAGCACAGAGGTACAGTAGCGCAGGAACGCGAGCCCAACTTTAAACATTTCATTTTTCTCTCACTGAGTGCTTCATTGCCGTGGCTTTTGAACACAAAAGCCTTGCCTTAACCCTTTCTTTTCGTCGGGTCAAAAATTTTCGTTGTGGCTAGGGTATGAACATGATGTCGAGGCTCGACTGCATGTAAAGAGAAAGAAAGAAGCAATCGGAAGTCGTCGGAGAGTGGATCATGTGGCACAAACCTGTTGTGGTGGGTAGGAGCGTGGGACAGACGAGAAGGAAGGAAAAAAAAAAAGGGAAGGTAGTGGCGCAGGGCTCGAGTGCAAGTACGCCGCTTCATGCTCTCATGCAACATCCCGCTCTTGAATGGCAAAAAGCAGGATGAGAGAATTCCGTCGCAGGTCTGCTCTACCCGAACCGGTCAATTCCCTCCTTGATGTCGACGTACACGGAATTCCGTCTTCTCACTGTTTGGTTCTCGTATTCCGGTGCATCACTACATCATCCTTCTCAGACAAGATGTGAGACTCCCTTTCCCCAGAACGAGCAAAAGCTATTGTGTTCCAAAAAAGGATGGGGAATTCCGAAGACCAGATTCTTCCCTTGGCGAAACCGGAAGCAGCCCTCCTGCTCGCTAAGCTTTCCCGCTGTCGACAAACAAAAAGCCTCATTCTCGAACGTGGTGAGAAAGGTCAGGGTTACGGTACTATGTATCAGATGCACAACCGTCAAAATTGTGATTTTTTCGATTTTTTTTTTCCTTCTTTTCTTTTTAGTGCGATACGCCAACAACTACCGCCTCGTAACAATCCCACGGCCCACTTTGACTTTCATATATCGGAGGTTGGCGGGTCGCCTTGCTCGCATTTGCGGTCACAGCGGCAGGAACCAGCTTTTCTGGTGGAACACAATGTATGCGTGTGCGGTCTGTGTGCGAAACATGGCGAAACGAGATGAAGCGGTGCCCGGCAAACCCGCCCCCACCATGACACTCCTGAGACTGTACTGTACTGTATGTATGCAGTACGCTTTGGTCATGCTTCAAAAAAAGGTATATAGATGAGCTGCTGTCGTCCATCATTCTCCTCGTTCAGGACCATCCAAGCTACGAACGAACGGTGTCTCTATTCGAACGATACCTGACCCTCGTCCCCAGCCTAATCGACCCTTGCCCCTGCGCCCCTATCACGACTTCTCTATACCCCCGCCTCTGACTGGAAGGAGTTTTCAGGATGCAGCTCTCACGATCCTTCACAGCCCTAGCTGGGCTCGTTCTCATCTCGATCTCGTCCACTTCGGCCGCTGTCATCACCGATGCATCCCGCGTCTCCAACAAGGCCTACGACTACGTGATCGTTGGAGGTGGATTGGCCGGATTGACCGTTGCCAACCGTCTCTCCTCCGATTCTTCCGTTTCAGTGCTCGTCATCGAAGCCGGTAACGACGACCGCAATAACGTCGACATCTACAACGTTGACAACTACGGAAAGGCTTTCGGCACTGATCTCACTTTCAAGTTCAATACTGTCCCACAAGTCGGTGGTCATGCCAAAGCTCCTTTGGGAGGACGAACTCTTGGAGGCTCGACCTCGATCAATGGTGCCGCGTGGAATCGTGCCTCCAAGGCACAGTATGATGCTTTGGGCCCTTTGATGTTCAACTCGACCGATGGTGGATGGAACTGGGACGGATTGCTCGGCTACATGAAGAGGAGCGAAAAGTTTGTCGCCCCCAACGACCAGCAGAAGCAGCTCGGTGCCAGATGGGATCCCAGCGTTCACGGCACAAACGGTCCTCTCGAGATTGCTTTCTCCCAAATCCGAAACAACAACAACAGGAAGAGAAGCATCGGCGGACCAACCCAGATGTGGAAGCGAATGTTTACAGGTCCCCAACAGGCCGCATTCATCAAAGCTGTAGGCGAAACTCTGGGCGTCCAACAGGTCGATGATCAGTGCTCTGGAAACGCCAACAGCGTGGCCTACACTCCCAACTCGATCAGTGTCAATGGAAAGCGCGTTTCCTCCGCCTCGGCCTACTACACCCCGGTTCAGAATCGAAAGAACTTGGACGTCCTCACTGGTACCCGCGCCAAAAATCTGCTTTGGGACTTTAGCTCTGGCTCGACGAAGAAGAGCTCGGGCGTTGTCGTTCAGCAGAGCAAGGACGGCAATCAGATCCGAGTGCTCGCCAACAGAGAAGTCATCCTAGCCGCAGGTGCCCTCAACACTCCCACCTTGCTCCAGCGTTCCGGTATCGGTGCCAAGTCTGACCTCGACTCGATCGGCGTTGATCAGAAGGTGGACCTGCCAGGAGTTGGAAAGAACTTGCAAGATCAGACCATGACCACCATCGGCTCTCGCGGCAACATCAACTACTCTGGCGGTGGCCCTTCTGCAGCCATTGCCATGCCTAATGTCGAGCAGATCATGTCCAACGCTACCGATGTTCGCAACTGGATCAACTCGAACCTCGATTCGTGGGCTTCGCAGCTCGTATCCCAGGGTCACGTCGTCTCCAAGGACAGCGTAAAGGCCCAGTGGAAGAGCGCGATCAGCCTCATCTTTGATAAAAAGGCACCCGTGGTAGAGTTGTTCTTTGACACTGGCTTCCCGGCCAACTCGTACGGACTCGACGTGTGGACGCTGCTCCCCTTCTCGCGAGGTTCGATTCGAGCAACTAGCCAGAACCCGTTCGACTCGGCCCGCATCGACCCCAACTACTTTGGCCTTCCCATCGACATGGATATGCAGGTGGCCTCGCTTCGTGCCTCGCGAAAGGTGCTCAAGAACCAGAACCTCAAGCAGTTGACTTACAACGGCGAAACCACCCCAGGATTTGATTTGATCCCCGATGGAACCTACTCTGGCCGTTACAGCAGGTGGGAGTCGTGGATTCTGGGAAACACCCCCAGCGGCGGTTCGGGCTACTCGGCGGTTAGCCACCAGCTCGGCACGGCAGCCATGGGGAAAAAGGAGATGGGCGGCGTAGTGGATGGACAGTTCAAAGTGTACGGCACTCAGAACGTCAGGGTGGTGGATGCAAGTGTCCTGCCTGTCCAGGTATCAGCACATTTGAGCTCGACGCTTTACGGCATTGCCGAAAAAGCGGCCGAGACGATCATGAAGAAGAACTAATTTATGTTTCCCTTTGACACAATGTTAGATATACCCGAATCACTTTCATGACTTTGATCATTAATGCTTACGTTTACTTTCATGCCTTAAGCAAAAGATACTGCGCGCGGATGTGTCTGGTGGGCAAACAGGAGCATCGCACCAAAGAGATGCTGTAGCTGGAAATAAAGGGTCGCAAGAGATATATTCACTTTGACCGCTTGCTAGCAGATGCAGACTGCGCAGTGCGCTTCCGCTTGGTGCTTGACGAGGCGGGTGTGCTATCTTCCTCGTCCGACTCTTGGATCTCTTTTGTGCCGCAATTTGAGTTCAGGTAGAGATCGATTGGGTCAATGAGAAAACGGGCAGAAAGGCTAGCGTGCAAATGGAAACCGAGGGGAGGGGTGAAGCGATGCTTACCGGGATCATCATCCTCATCATCGTCCTCTTCTTGCGATTCGTGAAAGTCTTCATCTTCGGATTCATCCTCATCGTGCTGTTATGCACACCCATTTACCAGTTAAAACTCAAGTCAACGTCGCTGTAACGTAATACAAGGAACAAGGATGAGAAGTATGCTGACTTACATCTTCGAGCAGGTACGAGAGGCCTACGTTTCCCGCTCCTCCTCCTCCACCATCATCTGATAATTCATACGATTCATCATCATCATCATCATCGTCTTCCTCTCCAACCTCTTCTTGCTGCGCCTGGCCATCATCAGCTTCGTGCTCGTCATCTTCGTCCTGCAACTCGGTCTTGTCCTTTCCTTCGAGTGTGGATCCGTTTATCTTTTCGTCGTCTTGAGGTGTGGTAGCTTGCAGCCCTTCGACGGGCTCTGGCAATGTTGCGTTCGTCATCTATACTTTTCTGTTTTCCACCGTGTACCGATACTTTGGGATGATATGAAGGCAGAAAGACAAGCTTTGTGGGAGAGACCGATTCAAAGGGGTCTTCCAGTCAAGTTGATCCGTGCTCAAGATTGTGCAGAGTCTGACAAGCGTCTCAAAAAGGACGCGTTCTTCATTTACACGACCCTTTTCCCATATATATATATTTTTCAGCTGTGTTACATTCTCTATGACACTTGCTGAAGATATACGATCACCACTTGCGAACGATCCTCTGGCTCTGCGGATGTTTTAGCAGCGCCTGTTGGACGTCTTTGCTTTGCGAAGTGAGAGACGGCTGTGATGTTGCCCAGTCTATATGATCCTCTCTCAGTTGTATGTAGCTCTGATTGGACCACACTTTGTCGTCCAGGAGACT